GTTGTGCTTTTGTAAAACGCGCGTGTGTGTGTGTGTGTGTGTGTGTGCGTGCGTGTGTGTGTGTGCGTGCGTGCGTGCGTGTGTGCGTGCGTGCGCGCAATATTGAGCAACATGTTCAAATGCATTTGTGCTATTGTTTTTTTTCTTGGTTGTTTAATTTGTTTATACTTTCTCATTTGAATGAATTTCTTATATATTGTTATTCTATTGTTATTGGTTTTTCTTTTCATTACACATGTTTTACTCTTTTACTATATATACATACTTTTGTATTTTTTTTTGTAATTGGAGCAACTGTCATGTAATCCATTTCATATATAATAATAAAGTATTCTGATTCGTATTGCTCAATGGCGCAGGGGTAAAATAGCTGACTACCTAAAAAGTCAACAAAGTGTCCCTGGGTAAGATACTTAACCCCACATTTCTTTCGAAGGCATGCGTACGGTATTAAAATGTATGTGAGTAGCTTTGGAAAAGTATTTCATGAAAAATAACAGGATATCTAACTCTCTGTCCTGTGTTTTCTTGTTACAACTGTGCTTGTCGACTGTTGCAGTTGTACCTATGTATTCTTTGTTAGCATTTCGGCTCGATGTATGTTTGTATTTCTGTTTTTCCTTTGTACTTGTATCTGTGTGTGCGTGTGTCTACAGGTGTACTTTTTGGCCCTTGTGGACCCTTGACATGATTAGGGGTCCAGCAGGAGCCTCGGAGCAGGGAGCAGGAGCGCAGAGGAGCTGATGGAGTCCTGAGGCTGGAGCTGGCTTCTATTGTCCCTGGTAATTGGATTTGGTCTGGAAGAAGAGATGGCTGCCAGTGAGAGGCTGCGATCATTAGGTGTGAATGAGGCGTGGGGTGCAGGGCTACACACACACACACACACACACACACACACACACACACACACACACACACACACACACACACACACACACACACACACACGGAAATCGCCCAGTAATGACTCCAATACAGTCGTGGTGGCAAATTCGTCCATTTTTGGGGTGTTCCAGGTAAGTTTAATTGGTTTACTACAGAAGCAAAACTTGTCTTGAGGAATGGGTCGGGCACTATAGATATGCGCCGAGACGAGGGACTGTTAATACAAAAACTTTCATATGAAGTCGTATAGCGTCGCAAAGAGCTGGAGGCAGATGGCCAGTAGGATCTCCGTAGGGCGGTACAACGAAATCGCTGACAGGTGCACTAATTTGAGACTTGAATTAGGGCCAAAACTGAAAGTTTTTATTTTTTTTCCGTTGTTTGCCTTTTTTTTTGGGTTAAAAAATCCGATACGACAATAAAAAGTGTACACGTATTTTATTTTAACCTAACAAGTCTTTGGTGTTACATTACAGTAATCCGCTAATAAAGAAGTCAAAAAAGTCCCTTATTTTTTGTATTCGTCAAAAAATTTCCTAACAAACCCTCCAAAGCGCGCTAAAAAAATCAGGGTAGATCGTTTTGGCAACAAAAAAGTATAAACAAGGTCGATCTTACCTCCGGGAACTATTCACTTACAACACGAAACATTTTGCGCGCACACACACACACACACACACACCCGCACGCACACACACACACGCACGCACGCACGCACACACGCACGCACGCGCGTTATTAACTCCCGTTGTACAAGTTTACGGTAAACACCATAACAAAAAAAAGAAACCAACAATTAAACCAAATATGATAAGAGGTAAACTTACTTAAAGATATATAACAATAAGAATAACAATAACCAAAAAGGAAAAGTAATGTGTTACAAAATGAGAAAATGATTTATATATGTATGAAACATAAAAAAAAACATTTAACTCGTTGCACAAGGGTACATTCGGTAAAGTATTATATTATTATTTCATAAGACTAAGCATAAACGACGTTACCGCGTCCCCATTTTATCCGACTGATGGATTTTTCAGTTGGGGTTTCACAGCGGACCCATTCTTATGAATTTCGGGGTGTAAAGAAAGCTCCGGTACGATTGCCATAATTTTAACTAACACTCATCCCGAAACCTTTTCATAAAGTACTTTTATTGTTTCCTATAGATTGAGAAACAGGACACAAAAGAACAATCCGTTGACACGAACAGCTGACAACGTCAACTGGATACATTGAAGGAACAATCGTAAAAGCCAGTACATACAAACATAAGGACAAAAAGGAAACATTGGAACCATTAGACACCACACGCACACAGATGTCCACATGAAAAAACGGGGAAGTCACCTGGGCGAACTCGTACTAATCCCAGGTCCGTCCTCGGAGCCTCCGTCCCTCGTCCTCGGCCCGTTCTCCGTCGACTACCTCAGGACTCCGGACCTCGACCGAAGATAACAGGGACCATTAACTTAAACCAGGGACCTTCTTCTCTACCGACGCACTCTCCGACCGCTACGTAATCACACTTACTCCCGCACCCCACCGGTCCCATGTGTGGTGTGTGTGTGTTCGTCGTGTGTGTGTGTGTGTTGTGGTGTGTGGTGTGTGTGTGTCTGTGTGTGGTCGTGTGTTGTGTGTGTGTGTGTGTGGGTGTGTGTGTTGGTAAAAGTATTTATTGTAGAAGGTTTGTTTATAGTAGTTCCGACATTTTTGATGGACTACTATAAACAAACCTTTAAATAATACTTTTACCACACACAACACACACA